TTACTAATATTATAAATATTATATATTTTTTTAAAATTTAATCAAATAAAAAACTTTATTTGCTAATTTTTTTGATAATAAAGTCTATATATTTTCCTTAATATTTCACTTTCTAAAGGCTAATATTTCTTTTTACTTGTCTATTTTTCCTTTTTCAAAAATTTTTTTATATTTTAACAATAAAATAAACAAAACTTTATCCATTTGATTTATAGCAAAAACATTTTATTAGAAAAAAAAAACCTGTCAAAAAAATATTCTCTACTATATTCTCTATAAATTTGAAATTCTAAAAAGTAAATTACTAATGAATGCATTTCTCAAGCTCTATAAGAATCTTGAAAGTAAATATCTTAAGCTAAAACAAGTAAATAAGTTAATAGAAAGTCTATTAAGGTATATGATCTTTTTTTATTAATTATATATTGTAATAGTGTTTTCAAGCATATCAAAATTTTTTTTGATTTTTTTTTGAAAAATTTTACCTATCTTAATTTGATTCTAAATTTTTTTTTATATTAGAAATTCAGATTGGTAATTGGCTAAAATCTTGGACTGGTTGATTGACATGTAAAAAAAATATAAATAAATATATACTCCTTACATATTTTATATTGTATTATATTAAAACTGATGATACAATTGGATATAGCAAAAGATTAAAATATCAAAATGTTCTTTTGTTAAAAGTGATTTGAAGTCTTTTATCTCTTCTTTTGTATTGGTTTTTTTTTTTTTAAGATCAAAAAAGATTTTTATTAGATTGATAATTGATTTAAATGAATTTTTATTTATTAGGACAAACTTTTCTTTTTTTTCTTTATTTTTTTTTCTTTATTTTTAGAAAAATAAAAATTTTTTATCTCTTAGGACTACAGTAATTATATTAAGATAACAGTTATGAATATTTATTGGCAATGATTTTTTAATTAAGATTAGCAAAATATTTCATTAAAAGAGAAACAATTTATTTATTTTTTATAATTTTATCTAAAAAGTTGAAAAAAGTTAAAAAGTTTAAAATAGTTAATACTATATAGTAATAGCTTAATGAATCAACTTTCTTGTAATAAAATAATTAGTAAATAGCTAGATCATATAAATAACATGATGGTCTTGATTATATATATGGTGGAATTGAATTCAACCATTTTTCAAAAACCGTATTATGGTAGAATTACTAAGTAATATATAGTAAATAATTGGAATTCGTATTTAATTCGGAATCATATTGTCGATCAAATTTCCTTTTATGGTAATACGACCACATGTATGGTCTTGATATTAAGAATTCAAGAATTATATATAAATTTATTAAACTTATTGATGGATATGCTAAAGCTTATAAGAGTATTTAGCTATAATATAAAATTGTATTAATATATTTTATTTAAAAAGATTAATAAATATAATGACTTGTAATCTAATTAGAAATTAAAAATAAATATTGTATTTTTTATAATAATAATTATAAATAACAGTTTTTTATTTTTTTCTTGAAAAATTAATATTTTCTTAATTATTATTATTATTATTTTTTAATAATTTTTTGCTATATAACTTTGATGCTTATATGAATTTATTATATATTTAAAATTAAATTATAAAAATTAAATATATAATAAATAAATAATAAATATTTAAATAAATTACCATATTATTTAAATTAATATTATTTGAATCTATTTTATTATTATTTAAAATAAGTTTGATTTTTAAAATAATAAATTAATTTAATAATAAATATTATATATAATTAAATAATAATAATAATAAATAATTATTTTATTGTCAATTAATTTTTGAATTATAAAAATAAGAATATATTTTTTTTCATTGTTATTAACTTTTAAATAACTTCAAATACCTAATAATAAAATATGTCCTGATATTGCTATTGCTTTAATTTCTTTATTTTCAATATTAAAATTAATTGTATAGATATACTGTATCTCTTTCAGAATAATTTGAAATATTTTATCCAATACAATTAATTTCACAAGTATTATATATTTTTTAAAAAGATATTGAATTCATTTTTTACTTAATACTCAATTATTATACTATTTATTATTTAAAATAATTAAAATTTTATATTAATTTAAATTTTATAAATAAAATAATAAATAAATAATAAAGATCTAAATAATAATATCAAAATTCAATTAATAATATATCAATTTCAAAAGCTACCATTATATTTTATAGGTTCAGACAACAAAACCAAAACTTAAGTCAAAAAAATTTTTACTAATAACTGCTTTAACTTAACTGTTTATGGATAAGTATTAGCCATTTATAGACCATTACAAATTTCTTTTCATTTATTTAATGTTTTTTAAAAACTAATAGTTGAACATGCAATAGACTATAATTAATCTGTACTTTAATATATGAGATCATTAATATAATGGTAACAAATATATTATTTAATAAAGCTTTATATTTAATGCTTATTTGCAATAAAAAAAAAATAATAAATAAATAAATAATAAATAATAAATACTGTAAATATATTTATTAGTTTTATTTTTAAAAATATATAAATAAAATTCTTTTGTTTTATATTCTATTGATCTTATTAAAAAATATTTTTTAATATTAATATTTGATATTATATAATCTGAAATATTATTGGAAAATAAAATTTCAAAGATATATTGATTTCCGGTAATTCCACTTTAATTATTTTTTTTGATGAAATTTTTTAAATAATAATTTATTATTTGTATTGATAAATTGTTCAGCCAATAAAGTTTGATATTCACTTTCTTGTAAGCAATCAAAAAGACAGATCCAGAGAAAAATACAATGAAGAAGATCAATTGGATTGTTTAAAGACATTTCATTATAAATTAAAATAATTTTTAATTCCTTATTGATTATTCCATCATAAAATTTAGTAGTATTAATTTCTAATTTTTTATTTCTTTTAAATTCCATCCAAAATTGAATTAATTAATAGAAAATTATTTTTGTTAAGTAAATTTAATTTCCAATCAGATTTGCATTCATGAAGATGTCTATTAATTGAAGCCAATACATTTTTTAAAGATGCTTGTAAATATTGCTCTTCTTTTGTTGTATAAACTCCATAAATAAATTCACTAATTTCTTTTTCAATTTGTAATGTTGAGATAAGTAATTCAAAAGAATAATTATATTCAACATGATTATACCATGTATTCATTATTTTAACCCATTTGTTAATACATTTGACAGTATTTGTTGGAATCCTATCTTTTTGTACTTGAGCAAATTCTTCTTCTGTTGGTTTAAAATGATTCTATAATATAATAAAAATAAATAAATAAATAAAATCTTTTATTTTTTTACTAAAAAAAATTCGAAATAAATAAAACAATAAATAATTTACTTTTTTTATTTCTTTTGTAATCATGGCATAAGTTTACGCGAAATTGAATTTTTTTTTATTTATATAAAATTTATAAATGACGTTATAAAAATTTTCAGACCCCTTCGGGGCCTAAAATTAACATTCAATTGGATTCCATTTACCGGATATCACAGTTATTGGATGCATTTCGTTACGTAAGCGGTTCGTGGATATTATTTCCTGATCGATTTGTGTAACTTCTCACATAAATATAAACCTCGAAAACGGATATGATAAAATTTTGCATTTTTTTACTTGCAAACCAGGTTTTTCAAATTTTCACGTATAAAAGCAACATCATGTCTTCATCCAGCGTTTCTTCACCTTCCTCACCAGTTTCCACATCCTATACTTTAACGGAAGAAAGGTCAACTCGCATGATGGCGGATGCAATTAAGAAGTATTAGACGGAGGAACTTATCGACTATTTGCGGAGGCAAGATTTAGATCTGAAAGAATCCCATTTCAAGATTTTTCGGCAGGAAGAGATTTCTGGTCGTGACTTTTTCAAGACTACGGAAGAAAAATTTCGCAGTTATGGTTTGAAAGGAGGTCCAGCAACTAGACTTGCGGATTTTATCGATGAGATATCAGAACAAAAGATATGTAGCTTCTCGTCATATAAAACTTTGGAAGAATTAAAAGAGGTGCTCCGCAAATATAAAGTTAATGGTAAGGATATAACAAACATCAAGCAATTCAACTTGGGTATGTGGTATTTTTTCGTGATTTTCCGGTCTCGCAAATTTCTTGGAAAATTTCAGACATGATAATTAGTTTTTTCTGTTATATAGATCCCGAAAAAATTGATGATAATGATGAAGCGTTCAGACATAATACTAATTCTAACAAATATCGAGATGATGACCGATGCCAACGAGGCAACCCACTGTGAATTTATTTCCTCTATATTACATGCGTCACTTGCCATCGTTCGAAAATCACCAAAGAAGAAAAACTTTGTATATCTCTGCAAAAGGATGTCTCTGGTGAAGAAGCGTCTGGACGTGTTGATTATGTGATCAAGGGGAAGGAGGATCTCATGTGCATCGCCGAAGATAAACCGCGTAATATTAAGATTGTTTATCTTCAAAATATTATGCAACTCGAAAGTGCATACCACATGAATAAGAAAAAAAGGACGGCTGAACAAGCATTCGGGAATGATGACTACGACTATCTCTACAGAATATTATCCACAGGTATAGATTGGCATTTTCTCGTTTAATCTTTCGAAAATGGCATTGAAAGCAGATATCGAATCAATCAGAAAAGGGGTAAAGCGGGTATTGGATGTTATTGTTGGTTTATTAAAAGATCGGGTAACGGTTGATAATTCCCCAGCCAGTAAGAGAGCAAGGATCAAAAAAATTGTCAAAAAATAGCAGATAGATAGTTATCCCGCTTCATATGTATTTTATATTGTATTAATAAAGCAATCAGACCTAAATGATCTTTTTTTTTTTCGACAATTAAATTTGTGGATAGAGGGTATTTTCCTAGGTGTTATATACTTCCTGAACTAAGTTTAGGGATCGTTCAATCTGCTCATATTAATAGGATAAAACCTCATTTATAGAATAGCAGGGAAACTAGCAGACCCATGTTAAAGATGATCAGCATCCGAGGTTTTTATATTAGAGTTGTAAATGATTTACAGCACATGTTATTCGTGGAACCTAATTTTTCAGACACACGTTAATATTAAATATTTTTTTTTCTGTTGATCATGGAAAATAAATTACACTGTCAAATATGTTGATTGATATCATGTGACTGTTAATTATAAGTTACGCTACTGTTAATTATAAGTTACGCGATTATCATAATAAGTGGCTTGTATTTTTATAAAAGTCCAACGCAATATGGATTTTTTTAAAACTGACGAAGAATGGACGTGCGAGAATGCTATAAAGTACTACAAAAAAAATAATGTACAGCATAATCTTAAACAAGTTCTTGACAGTGTCAGCAAAGACCTCAAGCGAATTGCAAATGAGGACTCTGATGCAACACTTAGAGAAAAAGCGCAATCTATACTTAACAACTGGAAAGTATGTTTTCAAGAAATATTGAAAAGGACAAGGTTGAAAAAAAAGCAAAAGGGATAAAGTTAGAGTATGGTCAAGCTGTACACTCTTAGTCGATCAGTTATGAACTCTTAGTTCGTGCCTACTCTTCCTTGGCAGAAGCTGTATAACTCTTAGTTATTCGGTTATGAACTCTTAGTTCCTGCAAAGCCGTACAACTCTTAGTTGTTTGGTTATGAACTCTTAGTTCGACATCTTCCCTCAAATGAATTCTGGTATAGTGCATCTAATTTTTTTTAATCTGAAAACTTTGCAAATTCTGTTTTTTTTGCTAGGAATGGACTAAAGACGTAAAGGAGAATATTATGATGAAAGACCTGATCTCCGAGCGTAATATTCTGATGGTAGACATCTCTAGATCTATTATGTAACAAAAAATACATATGTTTTACTTTTTTTCTTCCTTTACAGGCAGAGCAACATAATGAAGTTATAAGAACAGCAGTAGTTCGTGATCAAGTTGTACGGACTACACTTACCAGACAACTGGAGAATTTTAAAGGTGATCATGTCCAATTATCGGCAAGAAAAAGGTGTAATTCGAATGATTTTGAAGAAGGATTCTCGACTCCACCAAATAAAGTTGGTATATAACTTAAAATTTAGCTAGTAAAAACATCTGCTGACACTTTGACTATTTTTGAATGCATAGATCAGAATCTTCAATAGAATGTCCCCGAATGAGAGCCCATCCACAATAAGAGATTCAAAGATAATGTTGGAAACTTTTGATGAAAATTTTTACGTCAGATCTGAAAGAGAAAGCTCAACTATCTACCACACCTTTTCTGCCGAAAAAATGTGCGCGCGACATACAGCAAGAGGCTGAAACAGATTTTACAGATGAAGATTTGGCGAATTCAGTGATCGATACCTCCAACACTTTCGGCAAAGTTGAATTTCCGTCATATTATAATAAACTTAAATCTATATGGAACAATCAAGATACTACGAATTATCATATTATCGATTTAGGGGATAAAGATACATCGCATAAGGTTCATGACCTTTTAGATGAGAATGAGTTAAAATCGTTATTTAACAGGTTAGTGTTGGATGATGAGGATATGCACATAAATGAAAAGACACGTAGATATATAGAGCTCTTTGATTATATTATGAAGGAAGAGAACGTGGAAGATATTTATGATGACGTAGTTGTGGACGAAGTAGCTCGCGGTGATCTTGTATGTGAGAATAATGAAGAGACGAAAAATATGGAAGGAGGTAACGAAAAGTTTAACGAATCAATTGCTAAAATGGAGGAAATAGTGCATCAGCTGGATTCTTTACCCGAAAAATATCACTATCTATCCAACACTTTTATGTCAGCGCAATATTATGACCAATCTAAAATGCCTGATATGTTTATTGTTAAGAGCGTCTCTAGTCACCTTGATACTATCACAAAGATGAATGGTGCCATGAAAAATACCCCTGAACGTACATGGACAGCTCACGTATTAGCATATCTGTTTTTTGTTACATTTTGTTTTATCGACTCATTACATTATTTTTCATGTGAGCGAAGTATTTCTACAAAAATAGATGTTCAAGAAAATGGTTTTAAAGCTGATGGTGTATTAGAGTTTTTCGAGCGACCCATGCAAATTCCACTGTTTTTGCTCGAGGTATCTGAAGGTCCCAATAATCCTGACCCAGATAAAATCAATGAAGATAGGCAGAAGTTGATGAATGAGGGTGTTTTTGTCATCAATAAGTTTATGACAAGGACGGGACTGCCAACGTGGGAAGTATGTAGTACATTGAAGGTTTTCTTGGCTCAAGGATTTGGTAAGTTTTCAAAATGTTTTTGTGCTCACAAATATTTCTTTGTTTTAGTATATAATATATATTAATTATTCTCAGGTGATAATGTTGAAATTGGTCAAATGATATTTAATGGACCTGGATTGTACTTGTTCTCACCGTTTACGATTCCAGCTCTCGTCATCCCAACTTCTACTGATAACTTAGAACTTGTACCTCGACTCATTCGAACACTCTTATGTTTACGATATAATGTTCTTAAGGAGGTTAGGATGTTTGAGATGTTTGCAAAGGAAGGAAAGCGACGTATCGCGAAATCTAAAACTAAATATCCAACTGGAGTCACACCAGAACGACCAAAAGCTGTGACATTTGCAGAATTTTTACCAAAGATATCAAAAGAAGGAGAAAGGAATAGGGGAAGGGGAAGAGGTAGAGGAAGGGGTAGAGGACGTGGTAGGGGAGGGCAGGATTCCAGGGTTTGATTTTTTTAAAAATCGAATGAGCTTATTTTGTACAGTCATAAATCCTAAGAGGATAGTTACGTGATTAAATTCGTTTATAGCATTACTGTATAAATGCTAATTACATGATTAATTCACTACTGTATATATTTTAATCATACAATTTCTAAATAAAGTCATCAGTTTCTTATCACTATCGTGAATGTATAATTTATATAATAGGGTTTTGCTTTTTAATTAGACCAGAGCATGGTAAATGACTAAATGCCGTCTTGTTCATCCCTATACTAAATTATTTCAATATCGAGTGATTTATGCATAACACATATAACGTCATTCCACCGCTTTTTAGTATTAATAACACACATAATTGCTTTTTTGACAATATACAAGAAATACAAGAAATGTTACATTATCTTGGTATAATAGAAACAATCGCTTTCTAATCTTTTTGCTCTGGACCCTTTTTCTAGTATAATAATTCTTTATAAAGTTTGAAAGAATTAAGAGCTTTATTTTTGATAGGCCGGTAATGATTTTTAATTACTTCATACATGCAACGTAGATAAATATGGTAATTACTAATAAAATTATAAACTTTCCTCACGGATCAACATTTGGCGCAACGCGTCGTACGCATGTTACACTGACAATCATGATGGCTACATGGGAAATGGGAAATTAACGTTCTCATCTAATTTCCCATCTCTTTTCTTTATCAAATTTAACGAACAAAAGAATGGCTGATGAATCAGGAGCTATTAACAAGAACACCAGTAATACTAACTACGGAGCTATCGAGAATGAAGGAGGGCCAAGTACACAGCAAGTTCATGGTGTTCACATCAACACTAGTGGTTGGTCATTCATCAAATATAAATTCCGCAAACCCTTTGCTGAATTCTTGGGAACTTTTACCTTGGTAACCTTTGGTATTGGGAGTATCGCTCAAACAGTGCTTAGTAAAGGAGAAAACGGGAATTGGATTACCATCTCTCTCGGGTTTGGATTAGGATTGGCGTTGGCTTTAGCTGTGTCTGGAAGTATTTCGGTATGTCTGTAGTAACGTTCTTAGTAAAAAATAATCAAGATATTCTTTCTAAATTATTTGACATGAAAAATAGGGAGGACATTTGAATCCGGCCGTTACGATTACACTCGCCGTCTATCGTAACTTTCCTTGGTTGGAAGTTCCCGTATACATCCTTGCCCAAACGGCCGGTGCTTTCGTTGCTGCCTTTGTGGTCTACTTAAATTATCATGCAGCCCTTGCTAATTTTGATGGAGGAAATCGTATCGTCACTGGTGAGATCAAGTTTTAGTAGTCATTATATCGCAAACATAACGCGTAATCATAATAACTGATATATCAAATGGATAGGCGCGAATGCTACGGCCGGAATATTTGCAACCTACCCCGCTCCATTCATGGGTACACTGGGTTCATTCTTTTCCGAAGCACTTGGCACATTCTTCCTGTTGTTGGTGATTCTCTCAGTGACCGATAGTCACCGTAATCACCACAACATCACCATTGTAGCACCCATCACCATCGGCTTAGGATTATTCACCATCGCTATTTCCTTAGGTTACGAAACAGGATTCGCATTGAACGGAGCCCGTGATTTTGGACCTCGTTTATTTACATTTTTGGTTGGTTATGGAGTAGAAGTGTTTACCGCTTCCAAGTTTTATTTCTGGATCCCCTTGGTGGCACCGGTGGTTGGTGGTTTGTCGGCAGGGTTCGTTTATGATTCTTTGATTTACTGGGGAAAGTCACCATTGAATAGTAACTAGTTAGATGTCAAATAAACTATGTAAATCATTCGATTTCTTATCGAGCAGAGAAAATTTTGTAAAGTCTCAGTAAATAAACGCGTCTACCACGTGATATATATTCTTTTTGTATAAACCAAATTGTGAATTTTATTGATATATGCAAAATTTCTTTAATGCCACAATGCTCTTAATATAATATGAATAAAAGCTCCCTAAGAGTAATATTGAGAAAATTCTAATATGAAAAATGTTAACGTCAAAAGAAAATATGTTTTCTAAAGAATTTCTACTGCTACATATGCATATGTTTGCTAGTAATATTTTGTGTATTTACATTTGATAATCGCATTCTTTGCTTTTCCTTAAGACCTTACACGGCTACCCATGAAACGTCTTTATTTGTAAAGGAATTTTTGAAATTCGATGTCGTTGCAGACTTTGGGATTTGAAATTAAGACCTAAAGAGGTAATTAAAGCAAATAACATGAATATATGAACAAGAAGCAGAAATAATAATATTATCATTTTAAAGAAATATATTTACCTGCAAAAGTTCGTTAAATTTCTCCCTTCGAAATTCCAAGAGATCGTTATTTAGATCCGCGAACAAGGTTTTCTTGGGGAAATTAAACTCACAAAGTTGCATCTTTTTCAGGTGTTGATAGAGCGAAAAGAATTCATTGTATCGGCGTGATAGCACCCATCCAGATTTCAACCTGCCGTCTTCGGTTTTTTGTTGTACCATGATGATGTAAACAGCGAAATTTCGGGAATCCGCTGATTCCAGTGTGAATGCGGGAACCGAAATTATAGTATTTTTCTAAAGTATTTTTCAACAGATGAGTATATCATTCAAAGATTAATGTAACTAACCGACATATACTTACGGGAGAGAGGGCATTTTCCCTTTCTTGAATTTCATATTGTAATTTCTGATAATTAAGTATATGAATTTGGTTCATCAAAGTCTCCTGAATACGTTTGGTAAGCTTATATTCTTGGTCTCGTTCTTCTTTCATCTCTTTCTCTTCGATTAACGACTTTGCTTTTTTTTCGTGTTCTGCAATCATCCTAATTTCTTGATCAAGCTGAACAATCACATCGTGGAGGAAAAGTTCACTCGGTGGTGCAACATGAACCTCCGTAAAAGGCTCGTATACGGGTTTGCAAGACTTGACCGTTTCATTATGATCTTCCAGAGTTGATATTGATGCCGATTCTGATTCACTGAATCTGTCGGAATCCAGATTCACAAAGATGGTTGCGTCGTCGCTCTTCTCAACTTCTCGAACTTTCCATTCCGAAATACCTTGAATCCATTCTGGATTTGTCATCAATTCGGTACTTTTTAGTACCTGTACATCGTCATTAATTTCAACTTCTCGTGTGACGATTGTTTCGCTAACTTTTTCTGGCCAAGAGACCTCCGGAGAAGCGGCTTCGAAAATTTCATTAATTTCAACAGTTGGCATAAAAGATACTTTTGGAATTTTTTCATCTTCCGCATCCAGCAATGGCGCAGTAACTGCTTGCAGATTATCCTCCGGTATTTCCTTCAATTTAATTGTATCCCCCGAATGTGAAACCGAAGTACCGTCGTCCCTCGTTTCAATTTGTTCTATGTTTTTGTTTACCTTTAGTGAAATTGGCAATTCGTCGATCTTTGGTTCAATTGATTGATCTTTGTGTTCTTGATCTTGTGCGCCTTCCATAATTAGAGTCTTGTCGATCTTTGCACCTTGATCTCGGGAACCTCCTGAGACCTCCGGTTTTTCTGTGTCCTGATGATTGGAGATTGACAGGTTGACAAAAGACGCTTGTGTTGTACACAAGTCAACCAGTGTATTGGTGAAGCTCGTATTTTTCTCGAGTTGATGTTGGTCATCGCGTTTGGATGTATGCTTTTCGCAATCGTTTTTATGGAAAGGGACAGGGTTTGTTGAAGTCGCATCGCGAACGACTTGGTTAGGTTTTGTAAAGTGGATTGCGACTATCTCGTGAAAAGGTGTAAAAGAACACAAAATGATATGGATAAGACACGTTCCAACAAAAATATTAAACGAGAATAACAGGATATGGGTTATGTTTTTAAGCAAGAACGCAACCGCCAGAAAACCACCAAAGAACCGGATGGCGACTTCTTTCAAGTTTGATCTGCATGATGAATTTTTCAACTTGGGCATCGAAGATGTCATCCTTTCACGCTGTTTTTCGACGAAGAAATTTTCGTGCAGTTGATCTTGCTCTCCGCAGTGATATGCCACAAGTTTCATCATCTCTTCGTTACGAGTTATCTCACGGTTTGTGTCGCTTTTGTCGCTTGTCGGTAAATGGTTGCGGGTGCGACCAAAGGACGTGTTGAAATAGGTTATAATTATTTCGCAAAGAGGTGTGAACGAGTTTAAAATGAAGTAGACAAGGCAAACACCGACAAAAATCTCGGACATTAACAACGCGAAATCTAAAATGTGATTAAGCAAGAATGAAGATGCCACGACGCTAAAAACGAGCAAGACAATAGTATTGTTTCCACTCGATTTGTGTGTATCAGATCCAAAATAAGGCATTACCGCCTTTCCTACAGGTTCGAATATGATTTTTTTGTAAGCCGAAAGTATTTCTAATGCAAGTGACATGGTGAATCAAAGTCACGAGACAAATGGAACACGTAGCGTAGAATTTTTAAGAAAGTTGTTGGAAGCGAAGACTTTTAAACTGCCTATCAAAGACAGACAAGTAGAACGAAAAAAAAAAAAAAAATCCTAGGAAAAGTCAAAGAACGACCTTTAAATATCATCACCATGTCCAAATACGGTCAACGCAACAATCACCTGTGAGAAGAGAGTTGTTGGCTGCGGCATTAAACAACTTATCGGAATAGATCTTCGACTCGTTACGCCGCATCATTGAAAATAAAATTATAAAATAAAGTAAAATAAAATAAACCACATTGATATTAGATCTCTCTTACATCATTACCCATTTCAACAGGTTTTCAGCGTTTTTATTTGCGATCTCACTCAAATCGTAGAAAACAAATTCGACGCGCGTTTAAAATATCATGTATATTAAATGCATGCACCCGAAGAGGCTTCTTATCAAGCAATCATCTGCACAACAATTGTAATGATTTATACAACTGATGAATGCGTTATTAATCTTTGTGCTTATATTAATTACTCGCGAGAAGTTCAGTTAGATTAGGAAAACTAGGAAAAACTAGGTGAACGCTAGTATGCAATTTTTTGCGGACACTACATTAATTTTTTTTAAGCCACATCAATATGTGTTATCAAACGTTTAGCAAGATGAAAATATTATGTTTATCATCACGTATCAGTCTGGTTGCAAGTTTTCCCTACCAACGGAATATTCAAAACTTCGTTCTCCCTTTTCGCTTTACCTTTAAATTTCTCTATTTGATGGGCGTGCATAAAAAAGAGGGTAAATGTTGATGTCCAAATAGAGAATGGTTTGAATTTTTTCTGATTCATTGATTAGTGTTTTCGTCATGAATTGAACACAATTTTGAAACGATTACCAAATGTTGATGATAGATATTATATGCCCATTAACTACCCCAAAGGCTTTCTTTTTCATTTTCGGAGTTCTCATTAAATTTTTTCCACAGAAAACTGTGTGCAAATTCAAATGAGGTTCCACACCCACATGCACAAAAAATTTTTACACTTTCGAGCATAACTCAAATAGTCGGTACATATAACACGCGAGTTGGATAATAAGTCCAAAAAAAGTCATAGTATGGCTTTTTTTTTTTTACAAGTTCAGCACGCAATGCAATTTTACAACTTACGTAACATTAACACAGACTCTACACAATCAAAATGTCGTACGATGCAAAATTATGTCATCCACAACATTGATTTTTATTTTATATTTTTTTTGTTAGCGTGCAGATCGCTCCGAAATCGGCACGGCTTTAAAACACGTTTCTTTTGGAGTGCATTTTTCGTCATTCCTCCGGAGTCTTGATGAGCCAGAGAGGAACCGAATACAAAGAACTTAGATCCTTGGGATCCTCATTCTTGCATTTCTCACAATCACACTCAAATCCATATGTAGGCACCAAAACCATTCCTCTCCTCATTTTGTTAATGCTCGAATCACAATAACTCGCGAGTATCTGTTCACCCCGTTTGATTTCTCTTGATGCAATAACTGCCATGTCATTCTCTTCGAATTCGTATTTCGGAGTCCGATCCTCATCATTGGAAGTCAGGTGAAGTGTTGTGATGTTGAACTGACAAGAATGATTGATCAAAGATATGAATCTGTATAGGCATAAATATCCCGGAGATCCGAAAACATTGACTCTCAGAATATTGAATAATGTAATATAAATCCAAAAGTCATATTTCACGTCGTACGGAGAGATTCCTAATATGCTGAGGGTTTCCAGATAGTAATCAATTAATATCGCCGGAAGAGTGGTTGAGGTGTTGTAAATCGATGGTGACGAGGGTTTCGAAGGGTGAAATTGAGAAAGATATCTTATGTTTGAAACATCAAGAGGTGAGGTTTTTTTGATTTTCGCTATGGCAAATAGTTTTAAAAGCATCATGGGATTTTTGTCATTATTCCCGGATTTTCCTTGGTGAACGAGTGATAAAAGAGGTTGAAGATCCTTGCCACACAGATGAGTGTGATATCGTGATTCTGCCATCTCATAACATTGTTTGCCGCAGAAGACCTCATCGCAGTTGGATTTTTCGCATTTGAAGTTTGGTGGAGCTTCTGGGTGTTCGTTGTTAACGCCTCTGATGCGACGCGCGCAGTGATGACACCTTGGAATGGTGTAAGGGTGAACCACGAGAAATGCTTCTTCCTTCCAGATCACCATCCCTTCTGGAATGTCGTCTTCTGAAAATACTCCTATTTGAAATGACGAAAATCCACTGCTCGAAGAATTGCTGGAGTTACTGTTGGCAAATGTTACTCTTCCCACACTAACATTGCATTGAAGATAAGGCGTCAGTTCTTTCTGGAGTAATTGAATGTTAGCATCGGAACATCTATTCTCTTGTCGTTTCCTATCCCAAGGGTAATCAAAATTACTTGATCCCATATCCAAGCATTTATCGATATACTCTTGTTTCGAAGTATTGGTGTCGGGAATAGATCTTGTCAACGTTTCACGTGTTGACTTTGATTTATTTCTGCAATTCTCAAGCATAGCATTAAAATCCTCCTTATCTTTGTTATTTGTTATATATTTGCTATATGTCGGATGATTTAACAAGTTTTCCAGAATAACAACTGCCCGCTGAGAGACGCCAAATAATGACATCGATTCGGCCATTCGCCTATAGGCTTTTATGAGAAGATTCTGTAAAGTAATGTCTTCTAACAATCGGGTAGAGTACGGGGAATTTGGATTGGGAATGCTGGAGGAAGTTAAAAGGTCACGAGCTTTCAGGGCATCCATGTAACCAAGTTCAAAGGTCTCCAATTTAATGTTTACCAGAGAACGATTGCACCAAAGGAATGGATCTATCGGATCTTCTGAGAGACCTTGTGTGTATAGAGTCCATGATGAAACGAAATCTCCTTTTTTAAATGCTTCGTTTCCTTTCTCTCGATGATTACTCATTTTCTCGTAAGGAAAAAGGTGGTTTTAAGTATTCGGACGTTTTTATTGGATGGGATCGGTTACGTATACGAGATCTGTATAACGTGACATCAAGTGACAAATAGATAAACTACGTCATCCTTTCTTTTTTTAATTAAAAAAATTTTTTTTTGATTTATTTCTCGGGTTTAATTCAAGTGCATGCTTACTCGCGCGACACATGCTCCTTACTATATTCGTTTTTTTAATGACCGTGCCCCTGCTGTTAGAAAAAAAATGGAGAATGTTCAAGCGAATGATTTTTTTTTTTTTTTAATTTAAGCATGATAAGTAGATTTCTTTCGCGCAACTCTATCTAGTCCAGGTTTGGCAAAGATATACCAGAACTGTAATTACATCTGTTTGCTAGATCAAACTGTCTTGTAAGTGATTAACAAAGAAAAAAAAAAACGGCTTGGAAACATTCCCAAAGATGTTCTGATGTACTCTCTCAGACTCGTATTATCTTGCTGGCACCGTTACTGATTGATTCCAAAGAAACCAAATAAATTAAACAGAAAAGGAAATTTGATTCTTATGCAAAAAAAATTTTAATATACAAGTATTTTTCCAAATTATTGGCTTATGTTTATTAACGAAGGTTTCTTATTTTGTTAATTTCTTTGTTCTTAATATCATATGGCAAATTTAACCCAAATATGGATAGATCTGACTTCAATTTTCGTACACGCGTTATATAGTTATGATTGCATTCTGAGAAATTTCATTGAAAATGGAAATTCCAAGATTTTTACGTGTTTACGTAAAGCAGGTTCTTTTTCGGTCGGAATTCACCATCATGTGAAATGGCTTATTTTTTATCAACAAGAAATTGTTTACCTTTTTTTTTTTAAAAGACAAAGAAATAAAAAGCAAGCATATAAATTTCTTCAATAATAATATAAAAAATGTCGTACACACAGTATATATATTTTTAATTTAATAAACGAAAAATTAACATGAAGATCATATATCTTTATTTTTTTATTTGTTTAATGTTGATTTTTTGTTTAAGATTATATTGATTCAAAAAAAATAATTCAAAAATCTTATAATCAAGAAATAAATTTTCAAATAGGAAATAAAAATATAATATAATTTATTTATTTATTTATTATTATTTTTAACAAATAAATAAATAAATACAATAAATTAATCTTTTATTTAATTATATTTTTATAAATTATACTTTTTATAAAATTGTTTTAAATTAAATAAAAATATTAAAAATTTATAATTGATATATAATATAATACAAAAATAATTAAAATTATATTTTATTTATAATTTAATAACTAATTATTTAAATTTTATAAACTTTTAAAAATATATTTTTAATATTAAACATAAATATTTTATAAATTATATACAGTATATTAATATAATAAATATGATTTTTTTTTTTTTTTTTTTTTTTTTTTAGGAACAAAAACAACCGTTAGTCTCTCGTTTATTATAAGTGACTTGCCATTACAACAGTATTACAACAGTATTATAAATAGCTAGACTAAACTACATTTCTCTTTCACGGAAGAACTTAATGCAAGGTTCAAAAAATTGGCCCTTTTGTCTAAGTACCTATTTAACTCTTCAAATTTATAACAAACATTCCGAAACATTTACAATTCTTGAGTGGTGCTTAGCAGGAAGCTAGAAAATTAGGGAGTACCCAAATATATGAAGGCACTGCAACCAGATATACAGGTTTGCCTCCAAGTCATAGTTGAGATTTGGCACGCTTGCTTTTCAAAGTTGGCTTGATATACGGTAGGCGAAGTCAGTGAAGGGAGAAATATAGATGGTGTTACCTTAATGCATGAAGGCGCTGCAGCCACTTTATACAGGTTAGCCTCCAAGTCACAAAAAGGATTTGGCATATCCATTGTTCAAGTATGGCAGAAGTGTTCAATGGATAGAGAGTTGGATTGGGTTTTCATATAGGTGTTGGTACCTAACCTTGCACATGAGACCTACATTGTTCAAGGAGTGAGCGAACATTATTACCAGCTTGTTCCCGGGGGCAACTAGAATTCCTGGTCTTCATGTATTATCCTAATAGATTCTTATAAGGCGCAGCACCTAGAGATTCGGCCAATAATAGTGTGCACCGATTTCTTAGACGTATCTAGTCTAACCGTTAACAAGTAAACAACGCCAGATTTGGTAATAATGGTCATTCCGATCTTTTGGAGGGGGTAAACCATCTGTCCTTTTTCTAAAAAATCATGGAAGAGAAAAACTTGTCAAAGCCCACTTCTTGGAAAGAGTTTGCCACTTCTTGTATAATTTTTGAGAAAATGAAGTCAACTGGCCAGAGGAGTAATGAAATGATCACGTATTTCCTAAAGAAAGAGAGGCCTAGCAAGGAAAAACTTCAGGAAGAAGGAAAAACCTAGCTTTGGCTGGAAAAGGGAAAAAGGAAAAGGGAGGGGAAAATAATAAAAAAGTATATAAGAAGAGTAGGGAAGGAGAAGAGAAGAGGGAGATAAAAGGCTTGTGGCCAAGAGAAGGAGGGGAAGGGAAAAAGCGAGAAGAAAGTAAACAACTTGAAAAGTTTCCTAAAAAGAAAATTTTCAAGCGCAAGAAGGGGGAGTGGAAAAGAGTTTTTTTTTTCTGATAAATATGATTTTTTTAAAAAAATTCAAAAATAATAATTATTATTATTTTTTTTTTGATAGAATGGGCATTAGATGCTAATCTTTATTGATATATATTGATATCCAGATAGTACATCAAACATCATCTGCAATGCTTTAATTATAGCTTAATACTAATCTATTCTATACTATTATCTCATTGATACTAGTAAATACTTATTAAGTAAGTTTATATTTTTGAAGGGGACCTATCTAGGGGATAGAAATCTTATCATTAGTTTTAAACCATCCAATCTACTGGTCCAATCTTATATAGGAATATAGAGGAGTTTTGATTAGGAGACTTGGTTCAAGTATCTCTTGTCATCTTATTGCCTGGATTTTCCAAGCTAGAGCTCCAACCATTAATGAGAATATCATATAGGTTTGATAAGATGGAGCATAACTTAATCTGTATATCCAAATAAATAGATGGTTTGTTACTTCTTTCAGTAGATAATTATTGTAACACTATTCAAATGATCATCATGCCACTACACCTTAACAGAAAGGTCACAATCTCAATGCCTACTGAATCAGTATATGAATCGATTTCTTATGAGAAACAGTATATGACAGGTTATAGTACCAGATATCATATTAATACTATTTAATTGCCTTTATATGGAATTGAACTAATATCTTGTAATCTGACCTGTGGAACACTAACTACTATGCTATGAACCTATAGGTTCAAAAATAAACTATTTTATATTTTATTTATATAATATTTTATAATAAATAAATTAATTAAAAAATTTAATTTAATTTAAAATTTAAAAAATTTTTATTAATCAATTATTATAATTAAAATTATAGTTTTTAAAAATTATAAAAGAAAAAAATATTTTCAATTATATATTTAAAATTTATAATAAAATTAATTTTAAATTAATAATTTATATTATCTTAAAATATATTTATTTTATATATCAATTTATTTTTTTATTACTATATATACTATAATTAAAAATTAATAAATATTTTTATATTATAATTTTATTAAAAGTAAAAATAAATATGTTCCTATGGGAACATAGCATACTGGTAAATGGCTAGCACTTTTGTAAGAAGGTTGCAAGTTCAATACCAAATAATGGCAGTACATACCTATTGGACCAATTCACAGGAGTCATTGTGGTAAGCATTAGTTGCCTAACTGCTATAATCACATCATCCAATGGGCTAGTGTAAAAAGCAGGAACTCATGTTCGGTAGTCCCTAACCAGCGACAACCTGGATTCAGATCTACTATAATATAGGAAAATGTACTGTGAGTTTCTCATAGGAGATCTTGGATCTGTCAGAAACGTCAGATTGATCATCAAGGGGCTGGTGTGACACCGGTAAGTATTAGTTGCTTGACTAATGGTACGTACTGGAGATGGCCATAACTATACCTGTCAAAGTGATATTCATATAGTAGAAACTTTTTCTCTCCCAACAAAGACCTATAGGTCTATAGCTCGGTGGTTAGTACTCCACAGGTCAGATCACAAGATACCAGTTCAATTTCATGTGAAGGCGATTGAATAGAATTAATATGATATCTAGCACCATAGCCAGTTATGTGTCGTTTCTCATAAGAAGCCATTTCACATATCGATCCGATAGGTGTTAAGATTGTGATCTCCAGAAAAGGAGTCGTGGCGTAACGATCATCCGGTTGGTGCTATGATGATCATCAGAAGTCAGACAATAAAAAGGTGTAGAAGGTATCCGGTTTGAAAAAAAGATGGCTTGATGATTGTTCCCTATGATACCTGGTGTCTCTCCTGCAAGTTATCGATAGTTCGGTTTGGATTAGAGGTTTTCTCTACAGAGTTTTATTCGTCACAATAGGTACTACCCCCCAGTTTCCCTTTCATTTCCCCTTAAACATTCCTGGTTAGAAATAGAACTAAACATAAAATAGCGACACTAATGGAGCAAAATGCACATTAGCCTTGACTTGTTTAAGATGGTGATCGATAGCAAAAAAGCCAATATGGGGTAAAATCCAATATAGTCTAATGGTGGTTTAGAATAGTTCATAGATAGTAATTACCTGTGTAAAAATGTGTAAGATACATATGTAAACTAAATAAATTCGTCCAACGTTGGATAAGGTCCAGCTAGTCATATTAAAAAAAATAAATAAATAAATAAATATGTCACAAATGTCATATCCAAACATCTGAATCATAATCAAATCCAGTTAAGTTGCATAAAGATAAGATCTCTGATCTTTCTAACAATTGTGGGTTGAAAACAAATTAAAGCAAGAAAGGTTACATAAGAAAAGGCTTCTGATTTAACTCCAATAAAAATCTAAAAACTTATTTTCCTTGGCATGACAAACTCCAT